GGAACTCAAGGCTATTCGCGATGGGATACTACTTGCTAGAGACCTTGGTTTATCAGATATTTGGGTTGTATATTTGGGTTGAGGCAGATTCGACTATTGCCATTTACTGCATCACCAAAGGTGGCGGACCTTGGCCTATCCAAGTAATTCTCAGACAGATAGCAAATATCGTTCCCTTTGACAGAGATATTGTTTCCCACATCTTCAGAGAGGGGAACCAAATTGCAGATGCACTTGCTACTGAGGGATGGCATCATTGTAGCTATCAGGAATATGGACCAGCCGACCCACCACGACATATCATGGCACTTGTTCAGATTGACAGATATGGTTTGCCCAGTATTAGAGTTTAAGTACTTTTTTATTGCTCTTTTATTTTTGCTTACACTCGTGCTTTTTTGTAAGGGAGTTGTATTCCTTTTTTGCTGCTTGTTTATTATTATTTAATTTCACTGTAAGGGAAGTAGTACCTCCTCATTTATTCTTTGTTATTGATATCATTTGTAACCACAGTATTCCTCTGCCACAAGTGATGACATATTAATAAAACCTCGGAGGTACCGCCCTTCTTCTATAAAAAAAAAAAAAATTCGGAGGATAAAGCTCGAACGGGAATGGTGAAATTTGTTGACACTATTGAATTGCATCTAGAAATAACGAAAAACCAACATTTCATTACATACGTAAAAGACTATCTTCAACCGAGGTACGTTGGTGGTAAGTCGAAACACTCTTCGTTCAATTACAATTGAATATTTCCTTCATACAAATAAACAATCGATTACTGATTTACAAAAATATGAAGGTGTTATATCTTTAACTTCGAATATATAGGAAGGAATTAACAAAAGGGTTTATATAATTGCTACTGCACACTACATAAACTTACTTTGGTGTTTACGTGTTTACATAAAAAAATATTGCTTTTAAAATTATTGAATTCTCTCACAATGCTAATAATATATATAACACTATTATGAACATTATTAAAAAATATCATTGCGAGAGTAAAATTCGTTCATTTACATTCAACAACGCTAGTGTTAATAAGACAGTAATCGATAAATTGTATAGGGTATTGCAGCCCGATTTCGATGGTTATTTGTTTCATATTCGTTGTGTGTGCCATAGTTTCATATTCATTCCTCAAATGTACTATTCCCCCTAATAGAAAATAAGCATTTGAGGAATTTTGTGCTGAATTTGAGGCGACACAAAAATATTTGTTTGTGACGAGGGCATATATGAAACTCTCCTTACTTATTATTAAAATCATGTAAATGTTTTGAACATTTAAAAACTGATTTTTATAACAAGCATATTAGAAACGATGATGAAACTATTTTGAATGAATCTGAATGGCTTTTAGCTTTTAAAATTAAAAAAAATTGACAATTTTTTATTACTCTACAAATATTTTATCTGGAGTTTACTATCTCACTAGCTGTATGGTGTTTGAACGTCTTTATATAATTGTAATGACTTTTAATAAATACAAAAATGACCATGATTTTAGTGCAATTATATATTCCATGGAATTAAAGTTTAGAAAATATTGAAAAGACTTGTTTATGTTATTTTCTTTAACATACATCATAGATCATCGATACAATTTATCAGGCACTAAATATGTAATTAATCAGATTTCAAGAGTTTTAATTTTTAATATACCTATCACTTATAGAAATTTAGAACAAACTTTATGTGAAATGTATAAATTATATGCAAAATGAATGTGTAAATATTAGTCGGGTACCCTCTGCACTTACTCCTCCCACTGATATTGAAGAAGACAATGCTGAAATATTAATTTTATTCGAAAGCATTAACACGTATAGATATGATGCAAATGCAATAGGTTCCTCTAATAGTAATTTGTCTATCTCATGTAATCAAATATCAGACATAAGTCCAAATACATTATGTGCTGAATTAATTGATTAATTTAATCATAATATGTCAAATAACAAAACAATTAGAAAAAGTCCAGAAGAAGTAATTAAATTCTGGCGAAAGTACAAATGATGATGACCAGTGATTTTTGTGATTGCAAAATACATACTAAAACCTCTGGTTTACACTATAGTTTTGAAGTCTTCTTTTAGTGCGTTAAGAGGGTTTTGTTCGAGGTCATGTGCCGACTTAAAGAAGATATTTTGAAAGTATTAATGTGCGTGAAGGATTGAAAAGACACTCATTTTCGATCGCAAAAATAAATATGTTGAAATTGCATGTTGTCGGGTAAGTGATATCTAATTGAATCATATTAATCAAAATTTGTTATTTTATAATACCGTTTTAATTTTTTTTACACGAAACAAGTTGTTCGTGTACAATTTTTAACTCCGCATACTCAAAATTTAAGTAGCCAGTCTCAAACTCGAATGAGTGTTTAATTTAAAAAATAAATAAATACATAAATAAACTGCCCACGAGCCACGAGCTCGCCCCTCTAGTAACGCTCGGATTGTTACAGACGAGCTACGAGCTGGCTCGTGCTCGTGGACATTAGGGCCAAGATTGGCCCATTTCCACCTCTAGTTGTTACTTTAAAAAAAAAAAAAAAAAATCGATCCATTGCCATCTCTAGTTGTTTCTATTAAAAAATTAATTTAAAATGTCAAAGTAGTCTTTTAAATAAAATTCGTTGTGCCAGAATTATGTTTTCAGAATGTATTTTTGGCGTAATTTTAATTAAGAAGAGTACATCCAAATATTAATTCGACGGTCCAATCTCTACGCAAACATATACCGGATGGTGCCTAACTTCACTACCATATATTACCTTTCCGATAAGTTACTCCTGACTACCCGAATAATAGGACATTATGAAAACGTTTATTAGACGTTAAAAAGTTAAAAATAATTCTTCCAGATGGTAAGCTGTTTGTCACAATACTTCGGAAAATTTCATCTGTAGAAATTAAAATTCATATTTTAATCTAAATCGAATTCAACAATTAATTTTAACGACACATTTATTCGGATTCACAATTTTTCAACCATATACTTCATCAACTTTTATCAAAATGTATTAAAAATCTAATTTCACTCCCTACCAAATGGGGCACCTTTTAGCAAAATCTCAATTGGAACATTAGATTTTTTTTTTAGCTTAAGTGGAAATTAAATTTCCATTTATTTTTAATTAGATCATTAAACTTTAAATTAGTTTCAGTATTCACCACTTGGTCACCTATTGTTCTTACAAATTTATGTAACTTACTTGATTGACAGGCATAAAACAACAACTGATATGTGTAATTGTTGCTGACATGATAACTTACCATTATAAAGGTTGAACCCCAACTTTGAGAGCCCCCATCGCCCCACTCATAGAGTATCGTGAAGGAGGTAAATCCCGATATGTGTCTCAGTAGGCCGAGTACAAGAGTTGTTATACTGGTGCACATAATGAGTCAAATTCCATACCTTGTATGAGGCAGAAATCGAACCCTCATACTGCGGCCGTCAGCCTAGTTAAAACTACCTCACTCCTATCATTTGTACCATTGAACTATGCTCCGGGGGGTGATAACTTACCATTATGCTACGACATAAGGATGTGAAGAGTATAAACTTTCATACATTTTCCTATTTTATTCTAAAGACATTTTCATAACTGTATTTTAACATTTTGTTTTCAAGGTGCCATATAGCAATGAAGTGCAAGATCAATTAGGATATGCCCATATATTAAGCCTCTGTTTGAAGCTTACTGTTTAAAAGTCTTTTTTTTTTTTTTTACTCAAACTCGTTTTTAATCATACATTCTATGGAATACATAGATTTTATCAACTTTTCAATTACACATTTTATCAACTACTAAGAAAATCTACTAGAACTCTATTTTTTATCTAAGCCAAACAGGGACTAAGCAATTTTTGCCAGTTTGGGGGATGATAGGTGATGGAATTAGATATTACGGTGAAATTTGAAATAAAATTAAAGTTTAGTGACCTAATTGAATTAAATTAAAATTTAGTTATCCATTTGAGATTTTATTTGAAAGTTATGTGACCACATATAAATCCAAATAGTTCTTAAGAAAAGACTTACAACTACCGTCCCAGTTTTCTGATTTTGATTTACTTTTGAGTTCTCACTTTCTGAAATTTAACTATGTCCTTGTTTGGATGGCATTATAAGTTGCTGAAAATAATGTGATAGAAATAAGTGATAAATAAATTTGACATCAGTTTTTAAATTATACGAGCATCTCTAAGGGTAGCGTAAAATTGGGTGTAAATTGACATTTCCAAAATCATTTTTGCATCCCCATTTACATCATAAACGATCTAAATTCAAATTTTGTTCTAATAGAAGAACAAAAGAAAATGAGTGCGAGTAAGTTGATAGCTTTTTGCCTCTTGAGGATACCAAAAAAAAAATGTAATTTTTCAATTTCCGTCGAAAATACTATTGCATATCTCTATTAGAGAGTTTCTCTATCACTTTGGAAATCTAGATTATAATTTAGCTTCGTATTTGATTGAGACTAAAATCAGAATTTTAGCAGATTTTGATAATAAAAGTTCATAAAGTGTGTGGCTAAAAAGTTGTAGAATCTATGAAATATGTGATTAAAATTAATTCTTAACTTTGATTTCGATAAAAAAAACTAAATTTTAATTTCTATGAAACTCTTCTAACATCCAAACAAGCAATATATTGGGGGAGGAAATTGAATAATAACCCCAGTGGGACATCTGCAACACGAAATCAAATATCGCTTTAAGAAAGTCGGTGGTAGTTTTACTTTATGTTAGGACTTGGGACAGAAAAAAGAGTCAAAAAGGCTAAAGCCACTCTCCCTAGTTACTAGTCTGTCTATCAATCTATATAAATGCAAAAATAAAGCAAACATCAACACAGAGCCCATTGTCACAATTCTGGACGTGATTCAATTAAATCAAACATCAAACAATTTTCTTTGATACTGCATCTTTTACGTACAACTGCACTTCTTTGATGATCAAAAAGTCGTAAAACACGGAGGAATGGATGCTGCGGGAAGAGCTATGGTATTGTTCGTTACAGTCGGGATGGCTAGTTTTATCGTAATTCATGTGTATGGCGGCGACACTTCGCTTGCTATGGGTCAATATTTTCATGTCCAACACGACATGCATCACAAACTGCACCAACCCAAAGCGTCTAAAGTTTCATTATATCGACCCAATTCGATGTTTGCTTCACCAATGCAGGCTACTTCACCTCCTCGCGTGTATCATTTGACGTCTTACGGTGCAGACCCAACTGGGAAAACAGACAGTACAGAAGCACTTCTTGAAGCAATATCAGATGCACTTGATGGTCCAACAAATGGGTTCTTGATGAAGGGAATTCTTAATCTTGGTGGTGAAAAGATTGAACTTGATGGTGGGAATTACTTGATCAGCCGTCCACTTCAATTTTCTGTTGCTGGAAGAGGGAACCTAGTGGTATGCTTCCGTCGAAACATTTAGTTAAGTTCACATGTATATCATTTAAACGTTACTTCTTCTAGCATGTTCTAAAAAATAATGTTATTCATGATGGAGACTACTAGTTGTCGCCCTACGTGACATACATGTGACAGTTGCATTAAATAACAAATTGCCACATGTATGACGACTATCGGTAGTTTTCACTATGACTAGCATTACTCTTTGCCAAATTCTAAGTAGAATTTTGAACCACTTAATTTGACTAATATGGAACTTAAGCTAATATCAAGCCACCATTCATGGCAGATACAGGGAGGAACAATAAAGTCATCGGATAATTTTTCGAACGATGCCTACTTGATAGACTTGTCACCGTCCTTAGTCAACAACTCGTTGGAATATAACTACGAGTTTGTAACACTAAGAGACCTCTTACTGGATTCTAATTTCCGAGGTGGAGGAATTCGAGTGGTGAACTCATTGAGAATAAGCATAGACAACTGCTACATTACACATTTCTCCACCAATGGCATCCTAGTCAAAGGTGGTCATGAAACTTATATCAGAAACTCCTTTCTCGGCCAACATATTACTGCTGGTGGTGACGCCGGGGAAAGAAATTTTTCTGGGACGGCGATAAATCTAATGGGAAATGATAATGCCGTCACTGATGTGGTAATATTTTCAGCCGAGATTGGAATTATGATTCAGGCGAAGCTAACACACTTTCCGGTGTACATTGTTACAATAAGGCCACTGATTATGGGGGCAAGGGGTTTTATCTCCGGGTGCCATCTGGTTTAACACAAACTCGAATTGTGAATTGTTACCTAGACTACACTGGTATCGTTGTTGAAGATCCCGTTCAAGTACACATTTCTAGCAGCTTTTTTCTTGGAGACGCGTATATACTTCTCAAATCCGTAAAGGGTGTTGTAAATGGAGTAAACATTGTGGATAACATGTTTTCGGGTTCTAATAAGGGTATTGATAACGTACAATTAGATCAAGAAAATGGGGCTTTTACGAAGATTGATCAAGTCGTGATCGATAGGAATAATGTTAAGGGGATGAATCTTAAGGCCACGGTTGCTAGGCGAAGCGTGCAAGGAAATGGGAGCTCATGGCTAATAGACCTCAATTCAATGCTCTTGTTTCCAAATCTTTTTAAGCAACTACATTATACATTGATGGCAAATGGGAATTCCTTCCCTAAACACGCACTGAGAAATGTGTCAAATAATCAAGTGCTGATCGAGTCGGACGTGCCAGTTGAAGCAACTATTTATGTAACATTGGATCAATGAAGTTCCTTTTCCAGCAGCTAATTCACTATATTTATTTATTTACTTACTTCTAGTTCTATAATTGAGATTACGATTTCATTTGACATCTGCGAAACCACAATTTTAACCGTGTCAATTTCCTTTCCCCGCTTCAATTTGTGGGAATTAAGAAATTAGAATTCCTATTATCATTTTAGAACAATAGTACTGTTAGGACCAAATTCCAGTCAATTGCAAGAAATGAGTGCAAAAATGTAAGAAGACAAATTTACTTTTAACTACAAAGGTGTACATCTCCGTGAAGCATCCACCTGAGGAATAAAGCTAAAAGCAGTAGAGACAAACAAGTTTACACCACGTATTCTTAAAAGATACAACATCACGTGAAGTTGAAAGCTGGAAAGAAAGATGAAAGATGGTGTCGATTCTTGAATTTCTTCCGTGGTTCTTAATTTTTCACATATAGCCCCTTTTTGAGCCCGAATGTTTGATAAAAAAGAGAAAACTTTTCGATTTACGTGTAAAATTATTTTATTAGAAAATGTGATTGAAAATGAGTTTTTGAAAAAATGGGCACCAATCGTAACCCTAACCTTCTCCTTAAGCTGAATCTTCTCCTTCTTCAACTTCAAGCAACAATGTATGAAAGATACGGACTTGGTAGTTTGAAACAAAAGTTTCTTCAAAACTTTACAAGGATTATAAAAATGTGTGATCTCCTATGCGCTTTTCTGTATTGAAATAAGTGGAATACATGTACAAGAGCCTCCTTACTTTCTCTCCTTGAATTGTAGATGAAGAAATATTTATAGACCAAGAATTAGATAAACTTCATGCCTTAATTGCCTTCAAAGAAGATGTTTAACAAAACAAGGAAAGAAAAATTTGCTGTCAGAAGTGGAACTGTCTGCGAATGCACATGCGTCTATTTGCTTTCTGCTTCTGATCCCTAAGCAAAGCATAGTCTTTTTCTTCTATTGTACTTTGGTCCCAGGATTTCCTCCTTTATTCAGCCCGAGTCCCTTCATATTTGCATTTCTCAATCTTCAAAATTTAATCGTCCACATTCCTCACTCATTCATAGTTGATCCGATGCAAATTTCAAGAGTTTTTAATTAAGTTTTCAAACTTCCAAATATTAAATGAGGAAATTACACCAGGCATCATTTTGCTATCATGTAATTACGAAAATGTCACATTTTTAAATTAGTTGCAAGAATGTCACTTTTTGACATTTTTACCTCTCTGCATAATTTTAATACCTAACATGTCCACCATTAATTGAGATTTGACTCCATATGAAATTTGTACTATTTGTCATCTCCAAAACGTCAAAACAAGGAAAAAAAAAGGGAGGGAAATAATTGTCATCTGCAAAACACAAACAGCCCTAATTGAAATTTTCATTTGGGAGTCCGACCATCCACCCACCACCGACGAAAGCAAGAAAGTTCGACCCGGCCTTGGGCCCAAAAATTAAAGGGCCTCATATTTTTTTCTTAATACCTGATTTCCTATTCTACTCGTCTTCCTCACTTCCACGCACCAGAAACGGAAATGGCGACGCCCACCATCGACGGTCGAGCTTCTTGCTTCTCTCTCAGCTGTCCACGGACAACTGTTACTGTCCGCCATCGTGCCACGCCATTGCTTGCCTACGGTATTAACTCTGTTTTCTATGTATTCCTTCTCTTTTTTGCCTGAATCGTGTGATTTTCCTGGCGGGTTGGTTATGGATTCTGAGTTTTATTCTGTTATGGTTGATGGGTTTTGCAATAATGACATCTTATTGGAGGGGTTGAGGGTTTTGAGGGTGATGGTCAGTGAGAATTTGGTGGTTGAGGTTGGGGATGATGTAAGGGTGTTTATTTACAGGGGTCTATTGAGGGAGGCCAGGATTAGGGACGCCATGGAATTGAATGAGGTGGTGGTGTGATGGTGAAACTGTGAAGAAGGTAGTGGATTTGTTGGATTGCTTGATAGACAATTGGTTTCAATAGAAATACAAGTAATCGATTTTCCGTGCAATGCTTGATATCACTCTATATTCTAAATAAAACTTGAGATGACTTGCATTTTTGTCATTAGAAAAAGAATAAAGTTCATAATGACATTGGTAGGAGTCATTTTGTATCACTTTCTACTTTTTGAGCTATGATAAAGCTTCTGAGTTCTACCAACTAATTGAGATTGAAATGGACATATTGTGCCAGTGAATGTGTTCCTGGAAGTTGATAGGGAATGCAAATGCAAACTGACAATTGGTATTTATGTTTACAATTGTATCTTATTGTGGAATTTTGAGAAAGGAATGAACTACTATAGGTTGAGATTCAAATGGACATATTGTGCTAGTGAATGTGTTCCAGTAGTTGATTGGGAATGCAAATGCAAACTGACACTCGGCATTTATGTTTATAGCTGTATCTTATGGTGGAATTTTGATAAAGGAATGTACTACTATACTTTCATGTCTATGTTTTCCTTTTCTGCTTCTATTTGTTCCAATATTAATGTAAAATATATATTTTTTTTTGTTGTGTCACGTTCCATTTGCTAGTGTGCACTACACCTCCACTGATTAAAAATGGAGATTGAGTTAGGTTCTTGAATTGTTTGTTGGAAGAAAAAAATAGGTGCTGGATGCATCATCATGATTGCATTATGTTGGGACTGGGTAAGAACTTGTGTCTGGTGATACTAGATTTATGAAACCCTAGAACTTTTATATCAAATATTTCATGGGTGTTATCCATCTATTTAAATAAAAAAAAATTCAGCTAGTGGGGGTTAAAGCTATTGTCATACAAAAGAGTGACGGTTGAGATGATGTTGGATTGTATTATAGAGAGTTTTCCTAGCTAGTGTAAGCTACAATTGCATTAATGAATTGTGCTTTAAGGGATTATGAGTGGCTAATGTTATCCTTAACAAAAACTCGAGGGCAATGATATGATGGCTAATTTTGCATTGATTATTTGTGAATTAAATGGAGATTGTATTAATAAATAGGTGTGATTAAAAACATAAATAAAATGAAGTCTCTCAATGCGAATTGTGATATTACAAGGATGTGGTTTGTCAAAACTTAGATACAAGTAAAGAATGTAACAAATAGGGCTGCCTCGGTGGTAAATTGAAATGATTGTGAAAGAAAAGAAGAGAGAAAAAACATTGACAAACAAAAACACAGTAGGAAGAAACTAAGGTAAGCACTCTGAAGTCTAAGTACGCGTTGGAAATTATAAAGGAGGACTTAGTCTGGTCCTTGAGGCACACAAAGTATAATATTCGACTGAGTTGCACTTTGCTTTCTTGTTTACAGCGTGAGCTTTGTTTAGCTTTTCTTACTCAAATTGATTTTCATGGTGCAAAAAAATAAAAATAAAAATAATTTGAATCTGATTGCACTGGCCAATGATTTTGATTTCAGGCATGTGACAGTGGAGTTCTGAAGGGTGTGACTTGTGATTCTATAATTTTCGTCGATTTCCCACTTTTCAAGTAAGCAATGGCTTGCCCTAATTTGATATTGAATCCCCGAGCTTTCTATACTCCGTGTGGAACTCATAGTTTGAACTGTTGTCGGTTATGTTACTTTATAATATATGTTTTGTTCTTTTATTTGTTTGTTGTTCTACCGTTCAATGTTAAGTTAGCAATATGTTGCATTTACGTTGTTTTCGAGGGCCCAACTCTATAGGTTTGCCTCAGGCTCCGAAAATCACGAACTCACGATGATTTCTTCAGTTATTCAATTTACAGTTCATTGCCATTTTTGTACTTTGATGCTTGTACGTTTCTTGGCATTTGGTTTTGGTTTTCATTGTATGGTGTTTCAAATTGCTATTTCCTGGAGTTGCTTTTACTATGGTGAATAAAATTTAATTATGCATTTTTCAATTGAATAATTGATGCTTTCACATGATGGATAAACTTGCCTGGTCCAGATTCACTGATTTGGCTTGTATGGCCATCTTGTGCTTTTAAACTATGACCATAATGCTTGACCCAATCTTCATAAAGCACGGCTTTGTCATTGATTTTACAATGGGGTGCCATTGATAGACCTTGATTTGCACGTTTCTTAGCAGTTAGTTTGCCTGGTCCAGATTCACTGATTTTACAATGTGAACATGTGTTCTGTCGCTCTCGACACTTGGCTACAATCGTTCTCGACAGTTAGGTAAAATAGGGATAGGCGAACTGTCATTCCCGACAGTTATCCTCAGGCATTCTCGGTAGTTGAGTCAATTTGTTATTGGTCAACTGTCGATCCCGACAATTAGCTTCAGTAATTTTCGGCAGATGGCCGCCTTATGAAATAAACATATGTTTAATTTCTCATGATATTTGCGTCATATGTCGTTTCACAGATTGTTCATGTTGCCGAGGTTTAGTAATTTCATTTCTCATTATACGTTTGACTTACATACGTTGATTGCTATTTGTTTGCATCCGTGTGCATTGGCTTCTACATTTATGAGGTGTGATTAGCTGATCATTTTCCGCTGTGCTTTCATTGCAGACGAGATGGAGTTTGAATTCTTGGTTCCTGAAGACGCAAGGTTGCGTGCACGCATCTCACAACGAAGTAACCTGACGTACGTGAAAAGGGTGTTGGAGCACTTCGACGAACGACAACGCCACGAGTTTCGCGAGTCGTCCCTTGGGTTCTTGGCCGACGTTCTAGACATCCATTTCTCTGCTCAGCTCATTCAACAGCTTGTCTTCAGAGGCATCCACAGACAAGTCTCACGAATCGTTGTTCAACGTGCAAGGACACTACTGCCGATTTGGACTGTAAGAGTATGCAGTGGTGACCGGCCTGCGTTGCGGTGTCCCGCCTGAGGACGATCGGTTTCATCGAGTGCTGGAAAAAATGAGACTAAAGGACAAGTATTTTAGAGCTATCGAAAAAATTACTTGTGCTCAGATTGAGAAGACATTAGTTCGGTCGTCGACCCCACGGGCTGATTGATACAAGTTGGGTCTTGCACTCATTGTGGAAGGAGTATTCAACGCTCTAGACAATAATGTGGGCATCGATTTGATGACACTTTCAATCGTCGATGACCTGGATGTCTTTTTTGCCTACCCTTGGGCTAGAGTGGGATACAATCGTCTCATCAAGGGCTTCCGAGGCTCATTTGCTCGCAAATTTCGCGATGCCAGGAGGAAGCATGAGAAGGATACCCTACCCTTGGGGTAGAGTGGGGTACAATCGTCTCATCAAGGGCTTCCGGGGCTCATTTGCTCGCAAATTTCGCGATGCCAAGAGGAAGCATGAGAAGGATACCACTTACACAGTTCACGGCTTTCCCATAGCCATGCAGGTACGGGTTATTTTTCAATTTGAGCTGAATTCCTTATTAACATGCCAGTCTGTCGGGTATTTAAGTTGACATTGACTATGTTTGACCCATCCTGTGGTAGATATGGGCGTTTGAAGCGATACCTAAAATTAGCGAACGTTTTAGTCAGTGGGTAGGTGAACAATCCCCTCGTATTCTCAGCTGGACGGCCACGAAACAGTCGTAGCATCGCACATACGATGCATTCTTCAAGAAAGTTAAGGTAACATTTCATCTTCGAAGTTAGTGAAAATTTTAGTTTCTTTCAATCCAAAATTTCCGATGACATTTAATTCCACTAAACAAACTGTTACTCCTTGGACAGCTGCATGTTTTCGCAACGTTATGTCTGACCGAGTTGGAGCGCAACCAACACTACATCTTAACTCTTGCACCATTTGATGATGATGTCGTGCCCGTTCTGGACGACTTGGCAATGACTATGGTGGTTGCACAGTTTCATGCCGATGCCGATGCCGATGCCGAAGAGAGTGGAGAACGTGGGCAGGATTCGAGTTCAGAGGAAGACGATGGTGATGAGACCAGTGGAGGGTTGGTCGACATTGCTTCTAGTGCAGGTGATCGTGTAGGGCAGTCTGTTGAAGACAATGAGGATTCTAGTTCGGACAATAGCGGAGATGGCAGGGAAGGAGAGAGCACTGTTGATCATGCGCCCTCAATATCCAGACAGCGGGGTGTACAAATTGGAAATGGGTTGACAAGATCTGACATCGAGGACATGTTGTTGGATCAAAGAGTCCTATTTGAGATGCGACTTCGAATCGTTAAACTTGAAATAATCCAGCACGTCACAGCCACGTGCAATAGACTCCTGGAATTCATATCGACAGTAGTGTCACCACACATTTCCACCACATCTGCAGCTCCGCATGACGTGCAAAATGACCCTGTGCAAGCCCCACAACAACCTTGAGGTACGTGTTCAAAAACTCGAATTTAAACTGCGGAGCTACTTACGTACTAGATGACTGGTTGGGATAAACTTGTCATTTTAAGACTTACCGTATAAATCTGCAAGTTATGACGACGACTTCGGCCTTGACACTGATCACATGCCGGAAGAACACGATGCCGCGTTGGGTGGCGAACACCCCGAATTGAATGGTAAGCTCATGTTTATGCTTGTTTAAATTTTGGGTTAGTTTCAAACTGACTAACCGTACGTGGAATGTATGCTCATCTTCCCGCTTTAGTTGTAGGGCCAGATGTAGGGCATACGTGTGTCCAGGTCGAACCAGAAAATGATCTACCTAAAATTCAGAACGAAGACATGTAGACCGCTTCCGGCGCGATGGAGGTGGATGTAGAAGGTAACTTCATCACAATACACTTTCATCTACCCAAATAGTGCGATAGCTTCTCATGTCTTGCTCACTCAAATGTCGTTGCGTTATTCTAAACTAATTATTTGTCTATCGTTGTTGTTCCGTAGGTGGAATAACTGATCACCCAGTTCAGCCGAATGTTCCCGAAGAAGGTACTGTAAAAGAGGTCCCTATTCGCAGGCGGCGATCCACACGCCTTCGAATGCCTGTTGCATCGACCAGGACACCCTACACAA